CTTCCTCCTGCCTCTCCCTGCCGCAGGCGTCCTCTTCAGCATCGAGGTCACCTCCACCTTCTTCGCTGTGCGCAACTACTGGCGCGGCTTCTTCGCTGCCACCTTCAGCGCCTTCATCTTCCGCGTCCTGGCCGTGTGGAACAAGGATGAAGGTACCCCGGGGGTGCGGGGCTCGGGCAGGGCTGGTCCTGGGGCGGGATGGAGGTACCCCAGCTGGGAAGGGCTGCGCAGCGCTTGGCCTGATGGATCAAGCTGGAGGTGCCTCCCCTGCCATGGGCTTGAGGAGTTGTCCAAGAGCAGTGGGGTGCTAGGAGGAGGCTGGGCCCCCAAATCCCCATCATGGGGTCCTCTGCTCCCCAGAGACCATCACAGCCCTGTTCAAAACCCGCTTCCGCCTGGACTTCCCCTTCGACCTGCAGGAGCTGCCCGCCTTCGCTGTCATTGGGTGAGTGGGGGCCCCCGACTCGGTGCCCACCCAGGTCAGCCCAGGCACCAGGAGAGATACCCCAGCAGGAGTGGGGCATGAGGGGCTTTGTGGTGCTGGGGGGGATCGTGGTGCCCTGGCCTGGGTGGGGCTGCCCAGCCTGGTTCCTGGCACCGCAGTGCCCTCACGCTACCCCTTCCCGCCCCAGGATCGCCAGTGGGTTTGGCGGCGCCCTCTTCGTCTACTTCAACCGCAAGATCGTGCAGTTCATGCGCAAGCAGAAGACCATCAATCGCTTCCTCATGAAGAAGTGAGTGGCCCCCCAGATCCCAGGGCCTTGGCTGATGGCAGGTCGGGGTTAGGGGCAGCCCAGCACCCTGGCCTGGCTGGTTGCTTGCGGCAGGGGGGAGCCCTGTGGCAGGGAGAGAGATGTCTGAGCCGGGAGGCCCCTGGGGTCCGTGGTGGTTGTGATGGCGGGTGCCGGGGTGGGGGGCCGTGGTGCCTGCAGGGGTCATGGCTGCGGGTGCTGCTCCCACAGGCGCCTGCTCTTCCCCGCACTGGTCACCCTGCTCGTCTCCACGCTGACCTTCCCGCCTGGCTTCGGACAGTTCATGGCTGGCCAGGTACCGCAGTGCAGAGCCCCTTGCCTTGGGGGCACACCTTGCTGTGCCCCAGTGATGGCCCTGACCCCCCTGGGCCAGCAGCATCTCATGGGGGGGTTGGTAGCCAGGGCTTGTACCCCATGCCCTGGGGGCCCCAAGCTGCCAGCCCTCGCTGACGCTCCTGCCCCTCAGCTCACGCAGAAGGACACGCTGGTGACCCTCTTCGACAACCGGACGTGGGTCAAGCAGGGCCTGGCTGAGGAGTTTGAGTACGTGGGCATCTCCGAGGCCTGGCGCCATCCCCGCTCTAATGTCTTCGTCACCCTTGTTGTCTTCATCCTCATGAAAGTGAGTTCCCCTGGGCACCGTGCCCCCTCCCCTGTCCCCAGCCAGGCACCGGGTCAGATGAGAACTGCCCAGCCAGATCCCCCCAGCAGTAGCAATGCCCTCAGTCACCATCCACAGCCCCACCGGGCTCCCTCACACACACAGCCTTGGCATCCCTCCACTTTTAGGCTCCTATGCAGCTCCTGTGCCAGCGTGGGGAGCCTTAGCCAGTGCCCCTACCCTGGCCCTGGCCCTGCCCTGCCATTGAGCTGTGCCCCTGCCTTTCCCACTGGCTTCTGTCCCTGCCAGGGGTTTCAGGGGTCCCAGGGCTCAGCCCGAGTGCCCAGGAGCTGGGGAGCCAAGAGTGCCCAGCCCCATGCTGCCCACTGCTCTGCCCACTACTGCCAGGCTCTCCTGGCTCTCTGGGTGACATGGCCTCAGTATGGCAGGGGGAAGTGGGCACCCCACCGGACACAGGGCTCAGCTCACAGCAGGGCACAGGCACCTTGCCCACTGCCTACCCCAACCCAGCCCTTCCCTGGCCACGGCTCCCTCCCCTGGACCGTGCCCAGACCAGCGGGCAGGCTGGAGTAAGGGGCTGAGGCTAGGGCTGAGCTGGGCTGGAGGTCCCAGCAAGCACCTGCTGACCCCTGTCTCTGCCCCCAGTTCTGGATGTCGGCCCTGGCCACCACCATCCCGGTGCCCTGCGGAGCCTTTATGCCCGTCTTCGTCATTGGTGAGCTGTGCCTGGCCTTGCCCCTGGCTTCCCCCCACCCACCCCACAGCATTGCTGCCCACCACAGCCCAGGGGGGAGGGGGGGATTTACCCACAATCCCCTGTGCTCACCGTACAGCTCCTCATTGGCTTTCTGATGTGGCTGGCACCCTTGGAGTTGGGGGAGTCCCTGGTGCTGTGCCCAGCCTTGTGTGCAGCTCTGGGCATGGGCCCTTGGACCCCTCCCCCCGATGCGAGCCCCCCTCACCCCAGCCCTGCCCCTAGGGGATCCCCTGTGGGAGGGTCGCTTGCTGCCTGCACCCTGTCTGGGCAGAGGCATTCAGAGGCATCTCCAGGCTTAGCCTCAGCACCAGGATGATGGGTGCCCGGGCACCGCAAGCAGGGGGGAAGCTGACCCCAGATGCTCCACACCCCTCTGATGCCACATCCTGGGCAGGCGCAGCCTTCGGGCGGCTGGTTGGGGAGAGTATGGCAGCCTGGTTCCCAGACGGCATCCACGCCGACAGCAACACCTACCGCATCGTGCCCGGGGGCTACGCCGTGGTAGGTAAGCGCCAGGGCTGTGCTGGGGCAGGGGCCGCCATGCACCTGTGCTGGGCTGTGGGGACAGCAGGGTGCCAGGGCTGGGAGCAGGCCTGGGCATTGGTACAGCAGCCCCTGGCATCCCTAGGAGGGGTTGAAGCAGGGGCTGAGGCAGCCCCGGGTGGGGGCCGAGGCAGGGCCGGCCTCACGGGCACCGTTCCCCATGCAGGGGCGGCTGCGCTCTCGGGGGCCGTCACCCACACGGTGTCGACAGCCGTGATCGTGTTCGAGTTGACGGGGCAGATCTCGCACATCCTGCCCGTCATGATCGCCGTCATCCTGGCCAACGCCGTGGCCCAGAGCCTGCAGCCCTCTCTCTATGACAGCATCATCCGCATCAAGAAGCTGCCCTACCTGCCCGAGCTGGGCTGGGGCCATCACGAGTGAGTGCCCCTGCTCCAGACCCCCACCCCCAGCTTGGGGCACTGGTGCCCCCCCAGCCCAGGCAGCTCCCCAGCGGGGTCCCGTCCCTCCCATGCCCACCCCGCACTGAGGCCCCGCTCCCCGCAGGAAGTACAATGTGCGGGTGGAGGACATCATGGTGCGGGACGTGCAGTATGTCACCCTCAACTGCAAGTACCGCGACCTGCAGGATGTGCTACACAGCACCAAGCTGAAGAGCCTGCCGCTGGTCGAGTCGGCTGGTGAGACCACCCCCCAACCCCGGGGGTCCCAGACCTGCCACAGCCCATCTCACTGGGGGTTGTCCAGAGCCCCGTCCCTTACCCACCTGTTCCCCCCAGCTCAGCTGTGAGCCCCACCTGCCTCTGTGGCCCTGTCACTCTCCCTGGCAAGAGCCAGGCGCTGGGATCCCCCAGGCCCTCACCCAGCTCTGGGCATGGGTGGGCAATCGCAGCCAGAGATTTGCCAGCTGCCATTCTCTGGGTGCTGAGCGTGGGCCGTCCTGGGGCTGTGGGAGCAGAAACAAGCAGAACCTTCCCAGGGCCACAGCACTGCTGGCAAGGCAGTGCCCACTGCTCCCAGCTTCCTTGGTGCCCTGAGGCCAGCCAGCGAGTCAAGAGCCCAGGAGTCCTAGCACCCCATGCAGCCCCATGGCTCACCCCTTCCCCATGGCTCCTGCAGGTCTCCTGCCCACCCAGCCATGGCTTCCTCCATGCCCAGGGACCCGCATGGGGGCCATGGGCTTCCTACCTGCCCGGTGTGGTGGAGCCAGGCAGGGCACAAGGCAGCTAGCATTGGGCCTGTCTCCGCAGAGTCCATGATCCTGCTGGGCTCCATCGAGCGGGCCCAGGTGGTGGCACTGCTGAGCAACCAGCTGAGCCCAGAGCGGCGCTGGCAGCAGGCACGGGAGCGGGCACAGGCCTCAGCCCCGCGGAAGGGGCCCAGCGAAAAGCTGCAGGATGAGGGCGAGGGCGAGGGCGAGGAAGAGGGCAGGGCAGCTGACACGGGTGTGCGCTTCCAGGTGAGATGCCCCAGCCACTGGCCCTTTAGATGTGGGTCCCCAAAGTGGGGGAGCTGGTAAGGGGGGGTCCCAAAGCTGATCCCTCCAGGGCCCCCATGCCCTTGGCTGGCTGGTGAGCCCCCGTGATGGAGCCCCTGGTCCGTGCCCCCCTTGAACAGGCCTGTGGGGAGGGACCCACTGCCTGGCCAGGTCGGCTGGTGCTGCGGTGCCCTGGGCACGTGCCCGCCAGTGACGCTGTCCCCTTGCCACTCAGATCACCACAGAGGAGTCCTCCTTTACCCCATCCCACGGAGACACCCGCAAGCCTCTGAAGCCAGCACTCAAGCGAGTGCCCAGCAGCTTGGCCGAGAGCCCCACAGGTGAGTGACCCCCACCGTGCCCCTGCGCCCCACGGGCATGGTGCCCAGTTGGCTCACCCTGACGCTCCCTCTGCGTGTGTGTGGGCAGCTGGCAGCACGGATACCTCAGGGATTGCCCTCAAGAGCCTCTTCTGTGCCAATGCCACCACGGAGCCTGCTGAGGTGAGCCCCCTCCATGTGCCCCCCGTGCCCCCTGCCCCCATCCTGGCTGAGTCTGCAGAGAGCACCCCCCAGCCCACATGATGCCACCCCGGCTGTCCACACTGCAGGGGATGCCTGGCTGTGCCAGGGGTGCCAGTCCCCAGTCTGTGCCCAATGGAGCCATGCCAAGCCTTGGCACTGCCATCTCCCATAATGCACCTGTGTTCTCTCCTGTCTGTCTCCCCGCTAAGGAGGCAGAGAGATCAGCAGGGTCTGAAAAGCGCAAGTCGAAGCGCGTCCGCATTTCCGTGGTGGTAAGTGCGTGCCAGGCCTAGGCCAGTCCCAGACTCGGCTCCCTCATCTCAGCCAATCATGGACCAAACCCCCTCTCGTCTCAGCCAATCACAGATCAGACCCCCCATGTCTCAGCCAATCATGACCAGCCATTCCTTGTCTTAGCCAATCACAGACCAGACCCCCCATCTTATCTCAGCAATCATGATCCAGGCCCCTCCTACCCCGTGCTGTGCTGAGGGCCCCTGCAGAGCCTCTCTTGTGCATTGCTCCTCCTGCAGTGGGCAGGGCCTACAGTTTTGCACCCCACTTACAGGTGGGAAAACTGAGGCACAAAGCCAGGCAAGGACTGCCTGCCACCAGGCCATGGGGAGAACCTAAGGGGCAGCGAGCACCCCACTCCCCGCAGGAGCCAGCCTGAGCCCCGGGGCCCTCCGCACAGCTCGGTCTCTGATCAGACCCTGCCCTCCTCCCCGCTCCTCCAATTGGAGTTTTCAACCGCTCCTTCTGACCAACCAATCCTGCGACGATCCCCTCGCAGTCGCCAATCAGAGATCAACACCCCTCCACCCCGCTAATCTCATCCCCAATCAAACGGGAGGTTGCCCTGCAAGGGTCCCACCGGGGCCATCTGGGAGGAGCCGGGGCAAATGAGCCAGGGGAGGCGCGGGACTTTGGCTTGAAGCACTGAAGACCCCTGCCCAGGGCCAAGCTCCCTCGTGGCACCAGACCTGGGCAGCTCCAGAGGGGCCCACAGAGCAGGGGCAGCCTGTTTCCCCCTGGGAAGTCAGGGCAGGGCAGGGAGTGGCTCTACGGTCAGCCCAGCCGCCTGGAGGAAGGGGCAGGAGTGGGTGCAGGGGGCAGAGAGCAGGCAGGGGCATGCTGCTGGCTCCTGTGGGCACAGGGCAGGAGTGCCAGCACAGGGCATGGCAAGAAAAAGGGGGAGCTGGTACTCAGCTCTGAGTCGCGGGGCTGGAAGAGAGCCCCAGGATCCCTTGGTTGGTGCCCACGTGGGCACACACTCCCACATGCACATCTCCCTACCAGCCTGGCACTCTCCAGATGCCTCTTCTGTGGCTGGGAGCCCCCCGGCTCCTGGTGCCCATGCCCCTCCTCATCCCCTTGCCCTCTTCTCTTGCAGGATGAGTACCAGCCAGGCGACGAGATGAGCCCGTCAGAGGTGAGCGGGCGCCAAGAACTGTGGCAGGGCTGGGCCTGGCACTGGGCACGCACCCAGCCCTGACCTGGGGTCTCCTCTGAGAGCTCCCCTCGGGCACAGGTTACCCCAGGTCCTGCCGGCTGCCTGGGCAGGGTTAACCCTGGGTGAATTACTCTGGCAGTCAGGCTCTGTGATTGCTCCCAGGGCTGGCAGCCGTGCCTGTGGGCAGCCCCAGTCCATGGCGCTCACGGCTTCTCTGCCCCCCAGATCATGGAGTGGGAGGAGCAGCAGCTGGAGCAGCTGGTGAACTTCAACAACAGCAAGATCGACCCGGCACCCTTCCAGCTGGTGGAGCGCACCTCCCTGCACAAGGTAGGGCCCTGCGGAGCTGGCACGGGCCACGCACCCAGAGGCGCGGGGCTGCCCACTGCCCTGCAGCCCATGGCCCCAGCCAGCCCCACTTTCCCAGGCCCCAGAAGCCAGTGTTGGACTCAGGGCCTGGCTATCCAGTCTCCCCTGGGATTCACCCAGACCCTGGGGCCCTCCTTGCCTCGGGCCGTGCGCAGGGCTGGAGAGCATTTGGCTCCATGGGAGACTTGGCTGGATGCCTGCCCCACAGCCCCATGCCCTGGCTGGGTCCCAGCTACACCCCAACCCTGCCGCCCCGTGCCCCGGCTGAGGCCTCGTCTCTCGCAGACTCACACCATCTTCTCACTTCTGGGCGTGGACCACGCGTACGTCACCAGCATCGGGCGCCTCATTGGCTTGGTGTCCCTCAAAGAGGTGAGCTGGCCCGGGGGCCTCTCCTGGGCACCGTGGGGTGGGGGAGGACTCACCTGGGGGTGCTGGGTGCCCTGGGGCAAACCACAGCCCCTTGCACCCCCAGGGGTCGTCAGCACCCTTCCCCCACCAGGGCTGGTGAGCACAACACCCCAGGGAGGGGATGGAGGGGCTCTACCTGCCCTGTGCACCTGGCAAGGGCCAGGGGGGAAGGCAGGGTGCCCTATACCCCCACCCCCGACATGCCCATGTGTCCCCAGCTGCGCAAGGCCATCGAGGGTTCGGTCACGGCCAAAGGTGTGAAGGTCCGCCCACCCCTGGCCAGCTTCCGGGACAGCACAACCAGCAGCAGTGAGCCCGAGACCACCAGCATCCACCAGCTGTGGGACCGGCGCCAGCGCCATGCCCTGCCCCGCGAGTACAGCCCCTCCGAGACCGA